GTTAGGTTTGGTTTCCAGGAGAGTAAATATTATTCTGTATTTCACTGCCAACATTTTATTCTCTCTGAAAAACTCTGGTGGAGCGATCAACCCCCACAAGCTTCCTACCTGTTCTCTCTCTCTCTCTCTCTCTCTCTCTCTCCTCTCTCTCTCTCTCTCTCTCTCTCTCACCAAATGGTAGACTCAGCTATTTCTCCTTGTTACGCCTCCTGCCTCCTACAGCTAACTCCTCTCAAGTTTACTGTCAGCTCACAAAGTCGTATTGATTCTATAACATTTTTGAGGAATATATTTTTCCCTCCCCTTCACCTCCCCCCCCCTTCCCTCCCCTTCCCTTCCTCCGCCCCTTCCCTCCCCTCCCCCCCTCCTTCCCTTCTCCTTCCCCCCCCTTCCTCCGCCCCTCCCCCCCCCCCTCCCCCGTCCCCTCCTCCCTCCCCTCCCCCCTTCTCCTCCCCTTCCCTCCCCCCTCCCCCCCTCCCCCTCCCCCCCTCCCCTTCCCTCCCCCCTCCTCCCCTCCACCCCAGGCCTTATACTAGTGATTATTGGAAGGAAATATTGTACTAATTTTATTCCTTAAATATAATTATTCTTAAAGATAAAAAATAAATAAAATAAATAGGAAATGAAATAAAATTACCAAATAAAACAAAATAAAAGCAAATAAAATGGAGTAAAATATTAAATAAAAAATATTAATAAAAATAAATAAACAAAAATCCTCGGGTAATTTTTCCTCTTACAACCAAAGTTCTTCTAATTTAATATATCAATTTTAGTAAGATATATAGAGACGCCCTCAACCCTGTATTTACCGAAGAGGCGCAGTAGCAGATCAATACATCCCTCCTCCCCTCCTCACTACCATCATCCCTTCTCCTCCTCCTTCACTACCATCATCCCTTCTCCTCCTCCTTCCTACCTCCTCCCTCCTCCTCCTCCTCTACCATCATCCCTCTCCTCCTCCTTCACTACCATCTCCTCCTCCTCCTCTTCTACCATCATCCTCCTCCTCCCCTCCTTCCACATCATCCCTCCTCCCCTCCTCCTTCTACCATCATCCTCCTCCTCCTCCTTCACTCCCTCCTCCCTCCTCCTCCTCCCTTCACTACCATCATCCCTCCCTCCTCCTCCTTCACTACCATCATCCCTCCTCCCCTCCTCCTTCACCTACCATCATCCCCTCATCCTCCCTCCTTCACCCTACCATCCCTCCCTCCCTCCTCTCTTCCTCCATCCCTCATCCTCCTCCTTCCACTACCATCATCCCCTCCTCCCTCCTCCTTCCTGCCACTCATCCCTCCTCCTCCTCCTTCCCTACCATCATCCCCTCCTCCTCGACTTCTCATCATCCCCTCCTCCTCTTCCTTCACTACCATCATCCCTTCTCCTTCACTGCCATCATCCCTCCTCCTCCTCCGCTACCATCATCCCTTCTCCTTCACTGCCATCATCCTCCTCCTCCTCCTTCACTACCATCATCCTCCTCACTACCATCACCCTCCTCCTCCTCCACTACCATCATCCCTCCTCCACTCATCATCACCTCCTCCTCCTCCTTCACTACCATCATCCTCCTCCTCCCTTCTCACTACCATCACCCTCCTCCTCCTCCTTCACTCACCATCATCTCCCTCCTCCTCCTCCTTCACTACCATCATCCCCTCCTCCTCCTCCTTCACTACCATCACCCTCCTCCTCCTCCTTCACTACCATCATCCCTCCTCCTCCTCCTTCACTACCATCATCCCTCCTCCTACATCTTCATCAATTACCTTCCATGTCTTCTGTCTCACACCTGACCTGATCTGACCTGACGTATCCTAACCTGACCTAACCCCTTTCTTCTTAACCCTTTCAACCTTCTCCATTTAAACTCTTCACCACCCCCGTACCTTCTTCCTCCTTTCCCTAGCCCCATCCCCTTCCTAACCCTTCCCCAACCCCTTCCCTCCTCCACAACCCCTTCCCTCACTCCTTGTCTCGACCGAGGTTTAGAAATACTCCCCAGGAACATCGTGACAGCATCCCAGTTCTACCAGACGGAAACTCCCATTTTAAAATGACAGATCTTGCCGGGTCTCTGTGTGTGTGTGTGTGTGTGTGTGTGTGTGAGAGTGGAGACTTTAATAGGTTTTTGTCTGATAAGGACGAGGAAGACTGGTTGAAGAGCTGGTCTGGTGATGGTTAAAGATGACAGTCACACAGTTAGACAGTTTGGTGGTCGTCGTTTATGATGGTGTGTTGACAGTCAGACAGAAAGGACTTACTACCTAGAGTGACACGGGAAGTTTAATAAAGCTTTCACTACAAGAAAGAAACATCAAATGAACTTATAAATCAATGTTTACAGTAGATTGCAGGGGCTGGTCTCTTGCTCTTCTGTGTGAGGTCACGTAGGCCAGGTGCACTCAGGTGTTGAACAGGTAACAGGTGGTGCAGTAACTCGTCCACAGGTATGAGGGAGCTTTAGTGGTCTGCGTGTGTATGTCCCATCAAATATAAATAAACCACACAGAGAAATACATTGATTGCCTCATAAAACTTCAAAACAACCAACAATAAAATTTTGCAATAACATTTTAGACGCCCACAACATCTCCCACTCACCCCAACCCCCACCCCACCCCACCCCACCCACACACAAAACTGGACCCAAAACATCAGGTAGTAACGCTGTGTTTTCCTTCGTCGTTTACTTAATTTACTCTCTGTTGTTACACTACCAACGAAACAACACCTGGAGAGAGAGAGAGAGAGGAGAGAGAGAGAGAGAGAGAGGTTGTGTGATGAAAAGAAGAGCAAAAGAGAGAAGGGGAAAGATAAGGAGGAGGAGAGACAGACACACAGAGACTGAAAGCAAGAACGACAGCCAGACAGAACATAACAGACACACACATGGCCTTCTGCACTAAACAGAACATTTACCAAACAAACTCCCTCAAAAAACATACATATAATATCTAAAATTTATATATATTTCACACGAGTCCCACACCAGTCCCACACCAGTCCCACACGAGTCCCACACCCTACCAGAGCCTAAGGAGTTTATATATATATACACAGAACACAGCGAATGTATATAGTTTGGCCCAAATCTAATTAATATATATTTTTAGAGTATGTGGGTAATACTATGGACTCTGGCCGCCGTGTCTTGTACCAGGACTGTGAGAACCTCGGTGATGTGTATAGTTGATGGTAAATAGAACACACACACACTCATACACACACACACACACACACACGCACACACACACACGCATACACATACAGATAAATCAATTATTATGTAGAGGAAAAAAATTTGTTTAAATCATCAGATGCAATAAGCTGGACTGTCTATAAGCTTCAGATGAGCCAAACAAAGCTTTTTTTATCTCCCATCATTGCCAGCTTAACCCCCCCCCCCCACACTCTGCCACTGACTAATAACAACGCTTAGACTAATCTCCGTTGGGGTGTAAACAGTGTTATGTTAGCAGTGGTGTACGTAAAGGTCATTGAATACTGTTTAAGACTACGATAACACGCCTTTATTGTCCTGCCAATACCACATAATTCTCTCTCTCTCTCTCTCTTCTTCCTTCCTTCTTTACCTCTCTCCTTGTTTCCTACTCCCCCTTCCCTCTCTCTTTCATTCCTCCCTCCCTCCCTCCCTCACACCAGACCCCTCGCGTCGACCCTTTCAACTTATATCTTTAAAAGGAGAAAAAACTTTATTTTCTAGTTTAAGTGCAGGGAGAGGGAGGAGGAGGGTGAGTAAGGAGGGAGGGTGGCAATGAGGGAGAGTAGGAAGGGAAGGAGAGAGGGAGAGGGACAGGAAGTAAGGAGAGATATCCTTCTAGCTTAAGGAGCAGCATCGAGGAGGAGGATCTAATTCTCCAGCTTGGAGGGCGATCCATTTACGTCGAGAGAGAGACCTTCAATGTGTGGCTCAAGAGACGATATTGTTTGAGATAAGGACAAGGTTGTGCTCGGGGCCTCAAGGACGAGGTGTTCCACTGGAGGATATAACAACACCACACAACCTGACCTACAACACCTAACCTAACTTAACCCACAACCGTCACCAGTCTTCCTCCTCCTCCCTCCCTTCCTCACCACCAGCCTCTTCCTCCTTCCTTCCCTCCTTCCCCCCACCACTCTTATAAATAATGTCCTCAGAAACAGCTAAATCCACCGCAAATTATCCTTACCTCTGCCTCATATAACACCGAGAGTCTGTTGTGGTACTGCTCTCTCTCTCTCTCTCTCTCTCTCTCTCTCTCTCTCTCTCTCTCTCTCTCTCTCTCTCTCTGACATATATACTGCTCTCTCTCTCTCTCTCTCTCTCTCTCTCTCTCTCTCTCTCTCTCTCTCTCTCTCTCTCTCTGACATATATACATATCCGGCAACTCACGTCCGGCATTTTCTTCCTTTATCCCCTACATCTGGCGACTGGGCCAGATGGGGAAGGCGAAGGAACCGTCTAGGTGTCTTGGTTGCCGGATCTTGGTGTCTCGGGCCGATCTCGAGTCTCGGGCCGGTTTACCTACGGATCAGACTTGTATCCGGCAGTTTATGGTCCCTTGGCTTTTTTTTTACATCCGGCAGTGGGTGTCTGACAGAGCCGGCGAGGGTGTCGTCTGAGTCCCGTTATTACTATTTACATCCGGCAACATGAAATCTGTCAGTTTTCTTCTTCCTCTCCCGTTATATAACTTCTCTGTCTGTCTGTCTGTCTGTCTGTCTGTCTGTCTGTCTGTCTGTCTCTTTCTTGTATAAACCCGGCAGAGAATGTCAATCATGTGTACTTACGTCATGTATGTATTATTTACGTCTATGTATACAAATATATCCTTTAATATGTATAGTTATTGGATCACCTGAATATTAGACACCCTAAGTTATTTCTCCAGATGATTAAATACTCTAACCTGACCTAACTTAACCTAACCAACTGAACCTGTAACCATAACCTAACCAGTTACTGATCCTCTCTCTCTCTCCGCTCACAGATCCGGCGAGTGAAGGTGATCCGTCAACGTAACTCTGGCCTGGGACTGAGCATTAAGGGCGGCTCTGAGCACAAGTTACCCATCCTCATTTCTCGCATCTTCAAGGACCAGGCGGCTGACCTAACTGGGAAGCTGTTTGTGGGTGATGCAATACTGAAAGGTGGGTGGGTGTGGGGTGGGGAGTAGTGGGTGTGGGGGTGGTAGTGTGGGGGGTGGGTGTTCGTCCTCTTTTGTGTGTGTGGGGGATGGTGGGTGAACTGGGTCCTTCTCTTGTGGGTGGGTGTGTGTGTGTGTGTGTGTGTGTGTGTGTGTGTGTGTGTGTGTGTGTGTGTGTGTGTGTGTGTGTGTGTGTGTGTGTGTGTGTGTGTAGCCGGGTCACACCAGCTGCCGGGTCACAGCATCGTCCCCGGGTCCTGTGGTAGTTATTTGTACAGTCTGTGTGTCAATGTCTGCCAAGTGGACACAACCAACCATTGAAAAGGAGGAAGAATTTCTCTATTTTTTCTTCCTCTTGCTGCTGCTCCTTCCTCTCTTCCTTCTCCTCCCCCCCTCCTCCCTCTTCCTCCTCCTCTTCCTCCTCCTCCTCCTCTAGTTGCTGTTGTAGATACAGAAATCTTATTGGCTTCAACTTAATGCTTTTATTTAACCATTTTGCTTAAGAAAAAAATCAAATCAGTTCCTCAGATTACCAAAAGTAACAATCACTTTGAGTTACTTGACAACGTAACATCATCAGTAACGGGAAGATAAAGGAATGTGGAGGACTCGAGGACCAACTTGAAGGACCACCTCAGATAAGACCCACTATCAAGGACGAGCCGAAGACTGGAATACCCTTTATCAAACGAGGAGGAGGAGTCAGATATCTTCTCCTCCTCCTCCCTCCCTCACCCCTCTTCCATGCCCTCCCCCAACACTGGTAGCTCCCCCTCACCCCCGTCACCCCCCCTTATCCTTTCCCCTCTCTCAATTCTTCCTCTCTCTCACCTGTCCCCCACATTCTCCTCACCCCCTCCCACCCCACCCCCACCCTCCCCCACCCCACCACCCCCACCCTCCCACCCCACACCACCCCCTCCCCACCCCACCACCCCACCCCTCCTCACCCCACCACCCCACCCCACCACCCCAACCTCACCACCCCCACCCCACCACCCCCACCTCACCACCCCCACCACCACCCCCACCTCACTCACCCCCACCTCACCACCTCCCACCTCACCACCCCCACCTCACCACCCCACCTCACCACCCCACCTCACCACCCCCCCACCCCACCACCCCCACCTCACCACCCCCCACCTCACCACCCCACCTCACCACCCCCACCTCACTAATTTTCCCACCTCACCCTCCCCACCACCACTCCACCACCACCTCACTCACCACACCCCTCCACTCACCACCCCCTACCCCTGCCATGAGAGATTTTCAGTGAGGCGGATAACAAGGTGAGACGGAGCGTGGAGGAGGAGACTGGAGGAGGCCGCTAGCGTCTCCCAGGATCCAGCTGGAGGACAGGGAGACTTGGCACTGACACAACACCCACTCGACGGCGAAGGGACTGTCTGGGGGAAGAGATTTGGACTCGTGGTAAAATGGAATTCAGTTGAATGTAAATGTCTTGGACTATAACTCACACAGCCGAGTAATTTACCTGAGAAACTAAATAAACAGCCAACTTATATTTTCTTTTAACCGGACTTAATTCTTGCAAGACCTGTCCGTTATTGGGAGGATTCCGTTATTGAGAATATCCGTTATTGAAAAGTCCGTTATTGAGAGGTGTTTACTGTAGCCATTACTTTATTGAGAAGTTCGGTATTGAGAGGGCTTACTGCAAATTCATATAAAGTAATTCTGCAAAAAAAAAAATCATTTAGCCGCAGTATTCAATTGTCGCAAACAAATTTTTCACAGACGTAACTTGTCGTAAAATCAATTATTTAAAATCAGCGAAACGTGACTAGTGAGTGAGACGACCACCTGTACCATCCCTAGTTACCTGGTCACACGCACACACACACACACACACACACATCTCGCACACACACACACACACACACACACACATCTCGCATTCATGTAGAGTTTGACTTTCCGCCAGACAGAACACTATGAGAGCTTATGTTTATAAATTTTACCTGTGTCGTGATGAGGACACCTCCAACCTGGGGAGAGGGAGGGAAGGGGGCAAGAGACGCCGTTCCCATTCCATGCTCCAAACTTTGATACAAAAAATTTACACCAGCGGACTTTTAGGGTAGAAACTTTTCAAGGGTTTATGGGTAAGACTGTGTACCACCCGACGCTATTATTATTATTATTATTATTATTATTATTATTATTATTATTATTATTATTATTATTATTATTATTATTATTATTATTATTATTATTATCATCGTTGTTGTTGTTGTTGTTGTTGTTGTTTGTTTGTGTTATTATTATTGTTTTGTTGTATTAATTATTACTACTACCACTACTACTTGTTTGTTTGTTTGTTTTTTTTGTTTTTTATTAAAATGGCCTCCATCCTCCCCTTACAGCCACACCTTCGCCACCATTTTATTACCTTAATATTAACTATCCTAATACATAAGTAGCTACCCTAGCTGTGTTGAGCCGCAGATCTATGCGGCATTCAGTGACTGTAGCCTCATAGTCAATATCTGCAACTGTTGTCGGCTTAGGGGCCGATGCTCTCGTTCCCCTGAGGCAGAGCAAAGCCGACCGAAGGAGAGAGAAGGACAGTCGACATCTCAACCAGGCTGTAACATAACTTCTGGGCTGCTGCTTCTGTTCGGAGATCACCTCCGCGAGTCTGGCGTAGAAACATCTTGCACTTGGTCCCATCCCACCAGAGGTTGTGAACACTAGAGGAGTGAAGCTGCCTTGGTCAACGTTCTGAATTCTCTCCCCGTATCCCCTTATCTTGTCGTTCTCGTTCCTCCTGTGTGCAGCATCGAGAACTAAGTTACGGTGACATACGGTCATGGGATAAAAAATTCTGATGTCGAAGAAAGCTCGCTGTCCCCGCGTCCAGAATCCTCGTGCACTGACGTCACCACGGGCTTCGTTGCATGTGTTTGAAGTCCTATGATGGAAGATCTCACCGTCCAATGGAAGGAGGGTCGGTTCTACCATGACATCACGGCAGATTTCCTTCAACATATTTGCTGTGAGGTCCCTTACTTCGTCATGTCTCATGCATATGAAGCCCCCTTTCTTGCACATCATGGCGTGATCGACGCCATTGGAAGAGCCACACACGCATTGGGAGGGCAAACCTTCTACTGGCCTACCGTACCTTAGAGCATTGGCATCTGTAAATTCTTGTTTATTGAGACTGAAACCATTTGCCCGCCCTTATCGGTGACGTAGTTAGCACACATACATTTTCTTTACTCACTTCCTCCGATATAACTCTTCAATAATGTCCCGCTTGCTACAACACTTTCACGCCAGTAGGTTCGTTCACTGTTTCTGTTTCAATTCACCACTGTCCAATTTCCCTCACAAAGACACAATTTTTACGTTCATTTGTCTGTTTGTTTGTTTGTTTGTTTGTCCACGGCAGATATATACATTGTGGATGAACCATTGTGTCACCAGCCTCGTGTGTATAAAATAAATTGAACAGTTTTTGGGTGAAGTCTAGATTATTTTGTGCAATGTTGAATCTTTTTAGCCTTATTAAGACATATCTAACCACATCAAGACATCGCTGGCCATATCTAGCCATATCTAGGTATACTCAGCCATAATCAGCCACAATCAACCAGAAAAAATCACACATAAAACTACCATCAACCACACCCAATCACAAACAACCTTAAGCAACCAAAATCAACCACATACACCCATCATCAACAAGAATCAACCAAACACAACCACAATCAACCACACACAACCAACCGCGCTCACTCTACACTAAAAAAATGAATTAATCAGTTGGAGAAAAGTGAAAAATGGTTACAATGCTTTATGGCGGCCATTAACACGGGGAAGTTTAAGAGAATTTATAGTGGTAAATATTGGCTTGTGTTCTGATTGGTTGAGGGTGTTCTGAGTGGTGAGTGTTCTGATTGGTTGAGGGTGTTCTGAGTGTTGAGTGTTCTGAGCGGTGAGTGTTCTGAGCGGTGGAGGGTATCTGATTGGTAGATGTATCTGATTGGTAGGTGTTCTGATTGGTAGATGTTCGGAGTAGTGGAGGGTGTTCTGATTGGGTCACCTCCCGAGCATCATTGCCAATCCCACGGTAGTTGAGGTGTGAAGGTAGGAGTTAGCAACACTGGAAGGGGGGGGGAGTCGTATTATCCCTACAACTATCCCATTATCCCTCTTCCTATCCCTCACCCTTTATCCTTACACCTATCCTTTCCCCTTTATCCCTACATCTATCCCATTATCCCTCTCCCTTTATTCTAGACAGATGTACAGGGCAGCCTTTCCCTCCCTAGCACAGAGTATAGTATTTTTCCCCAGGACGGTTGTATCGGGTTGGCGTCCTTCCTGGAATACTAATAATGGTCCCCCTCGTTCACATACGCCGTGGTGAACCGATACAGAAAATAGCCCAAGTTAAGTTCACGATTGGAAGGGTAGAGTGGTGGTGTTGTCAGGAGGTGTTGTCAGGTGGTGTTGTCAGGAGGTGTTGTCAGGAGGTGTTGTCAGGTGGTGTTGTCAGGAGGTGTTGTCAGGAGGTGTTGTCAGGTGGTGTTGTCAGGTGGTGTTGTCAGGAGGTGTTGTCAGGTGGTGTTGTTAGGAGGTGTTGTCAGGAGGTGTTGTCAGGTGGTGTTGTCAGGTGGTGTTGTTGGTAGGATTTAGTGGTGAACCTTCAGTGCATCAATCGGGTCTTGCTGCTGGGTTAATTGGTAGTTCATAAACGAGGTAATTAAGGTGATTTTAACGAGCAAGAGAGGAAGGTAATTTCAGTTGATAAAACAGTTATTGGAAAATTGGGATGATTTAATTCTAACTTCGAGATAATTGGTAATAATTCCAAGTTATAATAGGAATAATTGGTAAATAGGACACCTAACTTCCCCCACGAGAATAGGTAATAGGAAAACTGATTTTTTTAATATGTTTTACGCCTTTAATTAATGTGTATTGTGACACCAGATGAATGAATTAACTTTTTTATCATTAATAGAAAAATTATATATATTTCTATCTTCAGAAAATGAGAAACTGTATAAAATCTCACTCCAAACAAAACGGGTCAAATAAGTCGTCACATCAAAGAAAATTGAAGAGCATATACTCAAGAAATTTGAAAATATAATACAATTTAATCCCTGGGAAAATGGGGAAATGTGTATATATGAGAAAACGACAAACTTTATACATTCTCACGGCAGAAGACGGTGGAAATATCTCTTAATATTCTAACACAAGTGAAATGGAAAAGTAAGTCAGAGGAAAAAACCGCTGACGTAGCACCCGAAAAATGGGAAATATCTCTAAAATATAACCCGGAATAAATGAGAACGCTGCAGAACCCCAAAAGCTGTGACATCATAAACCGGATGCAAGTGGCAATCTCTGACTAACATAACGAGTGCCGTGATAGAAGTGAGAGTGCCAACTACAGCAGGGTAACAAACTGGCACTGGCACTTGGCGTGGTTGGGTAGTGTTGAGGTAAGGGTTCTGACACACTCCTCTCTCTGATAAACTCTAGCGGGGTGTTGGTGGTGGTGGTGGTGGTGGTGGTGACTGTGTGTGGGAACCCTTAGGAATAACTTGTCAGACGTTAAATGTAATCAAGCACACACACACTAATAGCTATTCTAAGTTTATATAGGTTAGGTTAGGTTAGGTTAGGTTAGTTTTGGTTAGGTTAGGTTAGGACTGCATCACTAGTGCTTGTTCATGTTCGTTATATCGAAGGACTGTTAGAAGTAAAACCTCCATCCAACGAACTATATAAGTGATGATAATCCGTCATATGTAACTATGTGCCCGCCTTTTTTGGTCAGTGAACCACCATTAAGGAAAGAATAATTACAATGATTATTTTTTTTTCTACCCTGGACAGTCAACAACCAGTCTCTGCTGCGCTGTACACACGACGAAGCGGTGGGCGAGCTGCGGCAGGCTGGAGACGAGGTACTACTGACGGTGCGCCACTACAAAGCTGCCACGCCCTTCCTTAACAAGACAGATGGTACGTAATCCAGACTCATAATTATCGGTTTCTACTGTTTTCTACGATTCAGTGCTGTTTTCTCTGTTTTTTTTCACTGCTTTTAGAACCCACAGCTGTTTTCTAAGATTACGTACTGATTTCTAGAACCCAGTGCTGTTTTCTCTGGGATTTTTTTACTGCTTTTTAGAACCTTTTGCTATTTTCTTGGGTTCTCTACTGATTTCTAGAACCCACTCCTGCTTTCTAGAACCTACTATACAGCTTTCTAGAACCCATTGCTATTTTCTAGGGTTCTCTACTGTTTTCTGGAACCCACTGCTGTTTTATAGGACCCATGGTTAGGGTTCTCTACTGTTTTCTAGAACCCACTGTTTTCTGTGGATCTCTACTGTTTTCTAAGATTTACTGCTGTTTTCTAGTGCTTCATAGTTTTCTCAAGAGATGGAGGTTTCTTTTATCTCCTTGTATATATTTTATCGGAGTTTTCAAATTTTAACCTCCTGGTCTTAAATGCGGGTTTCTAGTCCCTAATATTGTTTTCTAGTCTTTGTTTTTGAATCTTTCTTTCTTGTTTTATAGTATTGATTTTTTAGGGTTTCTAACACTGTTTAAAGGTTTCTAACACTGTTTAAAGGTTTCTAACACTGTTTAAAGGTTTCTAACACTGTTTAAAGGTTTCTAACATTGGTTAAATGTTTCTAACACTGGTTTAAGGTTTCTAACACTGTTTAAAGGTTTCTAACACCGTTTAAAGGTTCTAACACTGTTTAAAGGTTTCTAACACTGTTTAAGGGTTTCTAACATTGGTTAAATGTTTCTAACACTGGTTTAAGGTTTCTAACACTGTTTAAAGGTTTCTAACACTGTTTAAAGGTTTCTAACACTGTTTAAAGGTTTTAACACTGTTTAATGGTTTCTAACATTGGTTAAAGGTTTTTAACACTGGTTAAAGGTTTCTAACACTGTTTAAAGGTTTCTAACACTGTTTAAAGGTTTTAACACTGTTTAAAGGTTTCTAACACTGTTTAAAGGTTTTAACACTGTTTAAATGTTTCTAACATTGGTTAACGGCTTTTAATACTGTTTAAAGTTTTCTAACATTGGTTAAAGGTTTCTAACACTGTTTAAATGTTTCTAACACTGGTTAACGGCTTCTAACACTGTTTAAAGTTTTCTAACATTAGTTAAAGGTTTCTAACACTGTTTAAATGTTTCTAACACTGGTTAGAGGTTTCTAACACTGTTTAAAGTTTTCTAACATTAGTTAAAGGTTTCTAACACTGTTTAAATGTTTCTAACACATTTAAAGTTTCTAATATTCTTTAAAAATTTATAACTCCTTTAGGAGTTTTTTCTCAGCCTTAAAAGTTTTATTATTTTCATAAATTTTCTTATTGTAATTTTTTTTAGTTTCCAACACTTTTATAGAGTTGTCAGTACTTTTATAGTGCTGTCAGTACTTTTATAGAGTTGTCAGTACTTTTATAGAGTTGTCAGTACTTTTATAGAGTTGTCAGTACTTTTATAGAGCTGTCAGTACTTTATAGAGTTGTCAGTACTTTTATAGAGTTGTGAATACTTTTATAGAGTTGTCAGTACTTTTATAGAGTTGTCAGTACTTTTATAGTGCTGTCAGTACTTTTATAGAGTTGTCAGTACTTTTATAGAGTTGTCAGTACTTTTATAGAGCTGTCAGTACTTTATAGAGTTGTCAGTACTTTTATAGAGTTGTGAATACTTTTATAGAGTTGTCAGTACTTTTATAGAGTTGTCAGTACTTTTATAGTGCTGTCAGTACTTTTATAGAGTTGTCAGTACTTTTATAGAGTTGTCAGTACTTTTATAGAGCTGTCAGTACTTTATAGAGTTGTCAGTACTTTTATAGAGTTGTGAATACTTTTATAGAGTTGTCAGTACTTTTATAGAGTTGTCAGTACTTTTATAGAGTTGTCAGTACTTTTATAGAGTTGTCAGTACTTTTATAGAGCTGTCAGTTCTTTTATAGAGCTGTCAGTACTTTTATAGAGTTGTCAGTACTTTTATAGAGTTGTCAGTACTTTTATAAAGTTGTCAGTACTTTTATAGAGTTGTCAGTACTTTTATAGAGTTGTCAGTACTTTTATAGAGTTGTCAGTACTCTTATAGAGTTGTCAGTACTCTTATAGAGTTGTCAGTACTCTTATAGAGTTGTCAGTACTCTTATAGAGTTGTCAGTACTTTTATAGAGTTGTCAGTACTTTTATAGAGTTGTCAGTACTTTTATAGTGCTTTCAGTACTTTTATAGAATTGTAAGTACTTTTATAGAGTTGCCAGTACTTTTATATAATTGTCAGTACTTTTATAGAGTTGTCAGTACTTTTATAGTGTTGTCAGTACTTTTATAGAGTTGTCAGTACTTTTTATAGAGTTGTCTACTTTTATAGGTTGTCAGTGGTATTGTGAATACTTTTATAGAGTTGTCAGTACTTTTATAGAGTTGTCAGTACTTTTCTAGTGTTGTCAGTACTTTTCTAGAGTTGTCAGTACTTTTATAGGTTGTCAGTGCTTTTATAGAGTTGTGAATACTTTTATAGAGTTGTCAGTACTTTTATAGAGTTGTCAGTACTTTTATAGTGCTGTCAGTACTTTTATAGAGTTGTCAGTACTTTTCTAGTGTTGTCAGTACTTTTATAGAGTTGTCAGTACTTTTCTAGTGTTGTCAGTACTTTTCTAGTGTTGTCAGTACTTTTATAGAGTTGTCAGTACTTTTATAGAGTTGTCAGTACTTTTCTAGTGTTGTCAGTACTTTTATAGAGTTGTCAGTACTTTTATAGAGTTGTCAGTACTTTTCTAGTGTTGTCAGTACTTTTATAGAGTTGTCAGTACTTTTCTAGTGTTGTCAGTACTTTTCTAGTGTTGTCAGTACTTTTATAGAGTTGTCAGTACTTTTATAGAGTTGTCAGTACTTTTCTAGTGTTGTCAGTACTTTTATAGAGTTGTCAGTACTTTTATAGAGTTGTCAGTACTTTTCTAGTGTTGTCAGTACTTTTATAGAGTTGTCAGTACTTTTCTAGTGTTGTCAGTACTTTTCTAGTGTTGTCAGTACTTTTATAGAGTTGTCAGTAGAGTTTCCAACAGTTTTCCAAGACTGTCTGTTCTCTCCTCATACCATTGTTTTCCAGTTATTTACAGTCTCTGGTGTCACAGTTCTCTAGTTCTTAAAATTGTTTTCTAATCCTTAATATTTTTTGCTAGCTGACTAATAATGTTCTCTAAGCTATATTAGCTCTTCCTTACTATATCCTGACCTACCTATAGCTCTATAACCTGTGCTTATATCCTGACCTTCCTATAGCTCTATAACCTGTCCTTATATCCTGACCTATAGCTCTATATCACAAAAATACTTAATATCTCTTCTTTTGTATCATTTGCTGTTGTATTTTACTCACTGTAGTTAATTTTGTATCATTTTTTGCTGTATTTTACCCACTGTAGCTAAGACTCACTGTAGAGGGGCCTCGCTACAGGAGCAGGATATAGAGATTTTAATCCTCCTATGTGTTTTTTTTTAACTATTTTACAGAGGTCAAAGTTCACCCAGTGTGTTTGTTTGGAACTGAAAAGAGTAGATGTTTATTGGTGATGTGGTGTTGGTGATTGATGAGTGTTGGTGTTGGTGATTGTTCATTGAGGTGAGTGTTGTTGGTGTTGGTGATTGATGAGTGTTGGTGTTGGTGATTGTTCATTGAGGTGAGTGTTGGTGATTGATGAGTGTTGGTGATTGTTCATTGAGGTGAGTGTTGGTGGTGTTGGTGATTGATGAGTGTTGGTGTTGGTGATTGTTCATTGAGGTGAGTGTTGGTGATTGATGAGTGTTGGTGATTGTTCATTGAGGTGATTGTTGTTGGTGATTGATGAGTGTTGGTGATTGTTCATTGAGGTGAGTGCTGGTGGTGTTGATTGTTGGTGTTGGTGCTGGTGATTGTTGTTGGTATTCGTGTTGAGAGTTATTGATTTACTGGTGATGGCAATGTTGTCTGCCCGTGTAAGCGTTGTAGTGCCAGCGCGGGCGTAAAAGTTAGTCACCAACACGAGTTATGCGGGAACTAGATCACATCTCCTGTCGCTCCTCTCAAATAGTTTTAAAAGTCATAAACAAAAGTTGAAATTGGTTCTTCTTCGGTGTTAAATAAAAGTGGAAACAGAAATAATTACGGTAAAGTTTGTGTGATAAAATAATGAAAATAAACAGTTAATGGAATAATAATAATATTAACAACTACAATAACAACAACAATAATAATAATAGTATAACAACAACAACAACAACAACAACAACAACAACAATAATAATAATAATAATAATAATAAATATAGGTGATAATAACACTAATAACAGCCCCACCAGTAAATGTCAACACACACAAACAGCTGACCGTCAGACAATATATTACAAGTAGTTTATTTGGGTCTGAGTTACATTCACCCTCTTATTGTTGCTGGACCTGTGGTGTGATGATCAGCATGCTCGCCTCACAAGCGAGCAGACCCAGGTTCGATGCCCGGGCAGGGTAAAACTATGGACAAGTTTCTTTATGCCATTTGCCTCTGTCTATCCAGCAGTAATTGGGAACCTGGATGTTAATCGATTTGCTGATCGTGTTCCGGGATAATAGTTAGCCAGTGCAGTTGGCGAGTTATCCGGTCTTCGCGGACTATTCCTTGACACTGGGTCATGCAGCTTGCTAAATCAGGGTGTGGTTGTTGTGTTGACGACAGCTTCTACACCTTAAACAAATTCACGCCTAGGTGGCCCTTGGGCCGGCCATCCTCGTTACATGAGGGGTAACCATTATTTATATTATTGCTGGACCAGGCACCTCCCAGCACAGCACAGCCCAACACAACCCAGCACAGCCCAACACAGCCCAGCCCAACACAACCCAGCACAGCCCAACACAACCCAGCACAGCCCAACACCCCACAGTCCAACCCTCTACCTTACACACACACCAAATTTATATTATTCAAAGATAAATGTATATAGAATAAAAATAAAAGTATATAAACTATTCATAACACCATTATTGAAGTAGTTTAACCTCATGTGAAGTATTAACATGTGTGTGTGTGTGTGTGTGTGTGTGTGTGTGTGTGTGTGTGTGTGTGTGTGTGTCGTTTATCGTGTTTTTCTCTCGCATGGGAGTTACGAGAGGCTGAAATGGTGATAATTTACCATATTTTTATTTTAAGTTTAAGCAGCGTCCGTGTTAGCTCGTTAAGGACACACACACACACTAGTTTCTTCCCCTATGAACTCAATAAAACCGTAACCTAACAAACTATAAATAACAATTAAGCTCAATGACATCCAATCAAGTTTCCTATGAAAATACAAAATACGTCTCGTAAGCGCCAAAAAATACGCACTGTAAGCACCCCCAAAATACGTACTGTAAGCACCCCCAAAATACGCACTGTAAGCACCCCCAAAATACGTACTGTAAGTCCCCCAAAATAACGCATTGTAAGTCCCCCAAAATAAAACAAAATAGTTATTGTGAGCGGCCGAGTTGTTTTCATCCATGGTGTTGATAGGTGCGGGAGGAGGTGTTCGAGGAGACGACCATTACCTCGTCGTCGTGAGGGCTCTCGGCCGTGTCCACCAGCTCTGGGGGAGGTCTTAAAGCTCACGTGTTGAAAGTACTGCCCGTGGCTTCTATTTATACTGATCCTAAACTACACCTACACCTAATCTTAACCTTTACCTGACCTGACCTGACCTGACCTGACCTGACCTGACCTGACCTGACCTGACCTAATCTAACCTCCCTCACTCCTTTTTCCCACCCTTTCACTTTCTTTCCTCACCCCTATTTCCCCAACACCACACCCCTTCCTCACCTCCCTCACCCCCACCCCTTCCTCCACCCCCCACCCCTCCCTCCTACTTTGCCTCCCTCACCCCACCCCTCCCTCACCCCACCCCTCCCTCACCCCCACCCTCCCTCCCCACCCCCCACCATCCCCCTCACCCCCATGGTTATCTCATTCCCTCAGTTGATGCTAATTTGTGGTCGTCAACAATAAGCAGAAGTAATTAGAGACGCCACAGTTAGTTCACGACTGGTAATTAGTGGCGACTTAGAGATAGTGAGGGAAGGGGGAGGGAGGGGGAAAGGGAGGAAATAGGGAGGGGAGGGAGAGGGAGAAGAGTATCCCTAGGGTAATTCTTGCTTGTTAAGAGTATAGTGTTGTTGTTAGTGGTTGTGGTTGTTAGTGGTAGTGATTGTTAGTGGTTGTGGTTGTTTGTAGTTGTTAGTGGTGGTGGTTGTTAGTGGTTGTTAGTAGTAGTGGTTTGTTAGTGAGGAGGGTGGTGGTTGTTAGTGGTTGTTATTAGTAGTGATTTGGTAGTGGTGGTGGTTGTTAATTAATTAGTGGTTGTTAGTGGTGGTGGTTGTTAGTGGTTGTTAGTAGTAGTGGTTGTGGTTGTTAGTGGTAGTGATTGTTAGTGGTTGTGGTTGTTTGTGGTTGTTAGTGGTGGTGGTTGTTAGTGGTTGTTAGTAGTAGTGGTTGTTAGTGGTGGTGGTTGTTAGTGGTTGTTAGAGTAGGTGTGGAGTAAGTGAGTGGAGTGGGGTTGTAGGAATGTGGAGAGGGTATTGTGACGAGGTTGTGGAAAGTGTGTTATAGTGTTGTGGTATTGTGGGGGTCATAGTGTAGGGTTATGGTGCTAGAGAGAGAGAGAGAGAGAGAGAGAGAGAGAGAGAGAGAGAGAGAGAGAGAGCATTTATATTTAACCAAGAAGATAAAAGATAAATCTAACTTCCACCACTCGTGTCCTCTCCTCCCCCCACAGAGACGATGAGCAGCACGACAGAGAACTCCGCCTCACAACTCCGACCAGAGGATGGTTGGCGTTCACCTTCCAACCCTACCACACCTACCACACCTTCCTCCACCACCCCAGTCAAGATCAACAACCACAAAATCACCAACAGTGACCAGACAGAATCTATGGTCTCCAACAATAGCACCACCACCACTACGGATTCTTCCTCCACCAAAAGCACAACCACTAATAACCTCAATAAAGTTAACAACAGCCGGAATGAGGTGATCTCCAACGGTATCTCCACCACCACCACCACCACGGGCACCTCCAACACCACCCCCTCCACGCCCAATGGACCTAAGGTGGAGAAACAGTGGGTGGATATTGTCACGGGTGAGTCTGTCTGTCTGTCTGTCTGTCTGTCTGTCTGTCTGTTTGTCTGCCCCCTTTAATGTTATGACGTCACAGTGTTAGAACCTCAGTGTTATGACGTCACAGTGTTATGACGTCACAGTGTTATGAACTTACAGTGTTATGACATCAGTGTTATTATCTCAGTATTATGACGTCACAGTGTTATCTCAGTGTTATGACGTCACAGAGTTAAAACTTAAAATATACACCTTAGCTCGACCTGACCTGACTTGACCTGACCTGACCTGACCTCTCCGTCCCCCACAGTGCCGCTCATGATGGCCTACATAACCCGCTACATCTTCGGTACGGACAAACTACGGCCGCAAGCGTTTGAGGTCCGTGGCATCAACGGCATCAGTACGGGCGTGGTGCACTGTCAGGACGCGGCTATGTTGTCCCAGTGGATCAAACACATCACTAATAACATCATCGGCCTTACCAACCTACAGGTGAGTGACAGGTGTGTGTAGATGTGTCAGGTGTGTGTGTGTGTGGACATGTGTCGTGTGTCATGTGTGGGAGGACTGTGGCAGGTATGTAAGGACTGTGTCAGGTGTGAGAGGAATGTGTCAGAAGTGTCAAGGTGTGTGTGTGTGTGTGTGTGTGTGTGTGTGTGTGTCGTAGGAATAGAGGTGTGCACAGGTAATTAAGAGACTCACAGGTATTACTGCTGCAATTAAAGACAGAACAGGTAAGACTTACAACAGGTAAAATGGACTTAAATTGTGAAATGAATAAACTTATTACGAAAACTTTGTAATATTCTTATAACTAATAAAAAAGGTAAACTGGAATTATTGTTCAGGTTGTTTATTAGGTGAACGTGTTAAAGAAGAGTGTGTAGTAGCCCCGTTATTAAGTCCTCAATACACCATATCAACAGGAGTGGTCTGGGATATCGGGGGCCAACCAACGACAGGTAATAGTCCACCAGGTGATATCTTGCTCTTTATAGCGGCCGTTAGATGTTATCATGGTGACCAGTGTGTTATAACATAAGAACATAGGAAAATAAGGAGTCTGCAATAGGCCGGTTGGCCTGTGCATGGCAGCTCCTGTCGAGAGTTACTACCACTCTATCATTCATGAATCTATCTAGCCTCCTTTTGAAACTTTCCAGCGTTCCAGCACTTACTACAAAGTTGCTAAGCTTGTTCCACTCGTCCACCACCCTATTTGTGAACCAGTTTCTTCCTATCTCCCTCCTAAACCTAAACTTATCCAACTTAAATCCGTTGCTCCGACTCCTATCCTGCTCGGATATTATAAGAACTTTATCTATATCTCCTTTATTGATTCCTTTCACCCACTTAAATACTTCTATCATATCTCCCCGCACTCTTCGTCTTCGTCTTATCATAGTGACCAGTGTAGGTGTTGTCAAGGTTATCCTGACATACGGTGTTACATCATTCGTTTACACACACACACACACACACACACACACACACACACACACACACCCCTCTAATATACAACCATGGCGGTACTCACGCTCAAGTCGTATATAGTGTGAGAAGTCGTAAGCTCACTACGACCCCTGTGCACTAATGGTCGTAATGAGGGTAAAAAAAGATAACAAACTACAACAAACAAATAAAAGTTGTAGGTGAATATTAACCTTTTGTTTACATTTGTTTGCGCGCTTTTCGACTGTCAATTTGCATGTGAGATGTAGAGGAAATTGGTGACCTTTGACCTACAAATGTCAGAGGTCAAAGTGGAGGTCACTTGGTAACTCCATAGTAACGTCGGTAATTAAACGCAGATTACAGTGGACACAGATCAGGGCAAGGTGGTGTGTAGGGGGGTGGGTGAGGCAGTGTGTGGGATGAAGGTAGTGTGTGGGGGGTGTAGAGGCAGTGTGTGGGATGAAGGTAGTGTGTGGGGAGGGGGGTGGGGAGCGGTGTGTGGGATGAGGTAGTGTGTGAGGGGAGGGGTGAGGCAGTGTGTGGGATGGTGGTGTGTGGAGGTGGGGCAGTGTGTGGGATGGTGGTGTGTGAGGAGGTGACAGTGTGTGGGATGAAGGTGGTGTGTGGGAGGTAGAGGCAGTGTGTGGGATGGTAGTGTGTGAGGAGGGTGGTGTGGGATGAAGGTGGTGTGTGTGGGGGAGGGGGTAGGGCAGTGTGTGGGATGAAGTGGTGTGTGAGGTGGGAGCAGTGTGTGGGATGGAGGTAGTGTGTGAGGAGGGTAGAGGCAGTGTGGTGATGAAGGTAGTGTGTGTGAGGGGGTGAGGCAGTGTGTGGGATGAAGGTAGTGTGTGTGAGGAGGGTACTGTATGTGGGCGGCGGTGTTATTGTGCTGGTAAAAGTCACTGGCTCAGGTGAGAACAATGAACACACCTGGTGACAATATCCTCTCTCTGTGGCGGACTCAAATAGAACAGGTGTGTTATGACGTCAGCATAATGGTTATGTTTCTTCATTCACTTTTTATTCATTGACAACGTGAAAAAAATGTCTTTGTTGTGTCTTCTTTGATATCCTGTTTGTAGACCCAGCAGTTGCACGACACAACGGCTGCACGACACAACAGCTGCACGACACAACAGCTGCACACGCTCACAACCCCGACACAACAGCTGCACGACACAACAGCTGCGACACAATAACTGCCAACAACAGCTGCACAACACAATGGCGCAACACAGCTGCACAACACAACAGCTGCACGACACAACAGCTGCACAACACAACAGCTGCACGACACAACATCGTTCTAGGAAAATAATTCAATATTTAACAAAAACTCTCCAGGCGGAGGAGATCTGAGCGACTGGCTGACTAGTGAGGACAGGAGGAGTAGGGGAGAGGAGGAAGAAAGGAGGATGAAGATGGGGAGAAAGGTGGTTGAAAGGCTGTGGAGAAGAGGCAGGGAAAGGTCTTCGCTCTAGCTTCAGGATCTCCGTGTTAGCTGTCAGAATACCTCGTCACTCTGCATACATTATAATACTTTACTATGATGTAATTCTAAACAACAATTACACGTTCCTGACAAAAATTTACCCCCCAAAAATTTTGCAAACTTTTATTACGATTTTTAGTAAGAGTTTATAAATGTCGAAAATAAATATGAACTTTTTTACTCAGTTCTGTCGTTTACAAACCAATTATTTATTGTATTTTATATGTATGATCTTAAAAGCAAACGTAACACTTAAATAAAATGTTAAAAAAAAATGTTTACCAGAAATGTTGGCCTAAAAAATGTTGACCCCCAAAAAAGTTGATCTAAAAATGTTGATCCAAAATGTGATCCAAAAAATGTTGATCTAAAATGTTACCCACAAAAAAATGTTGCCCCCCCCAAAATGTTGGACCAGCAGCACCAGGCAAGGAACTCCCGTGACCTGATAGTGTTGTGTTGGCCGCTATATATAGTGTTGGTGACAGCAGCTTGGTACAGGGAGAGAAAACACTAGTAAATTCTGAGGCCGTGGGGAAACAGACAGACACAGACACGGTTCCCAAACAACCTTGATATACGACTTAAATAAAACACTATAAGCAATATTAAACCTGAGGAAAAACCTGTTTACATTGTATATAAACTTGTGCAAACATACAAACAATTTGAACCCGAAAATAAATACTACAAGGCAGGAAAAATTTCAGTGAGTCAAGGGAAAAATGCAACGAGGCAGGGAAAAAATACAGTAAGGCAGGGAAAAAACACACTGAAGCAGGGAAACAAATACAGACTCGTCCTCCAAACACACACATTGTCCTCCACACTCCAAAACCTCCGCCTCGAGCGCCAGTCTATTGTGAAGGTGATGCTCCACTTCAGGTAGGGGGGTGTCTGGAGGCCTACCTAACACCTGCCTCTCTCTCTCTCTCTCTCTCTTCTTTTGTTTGTCTCTTCTCTTAATTACAGGTGTGATGACCTTTTTATTCTTTATACAGGTGTGTGTGTGTGTGTGTTAGTTAATAGTCCTTAACAATTAGGGCCATTAACACACACACACTAGGTTTCTTCCCGGATCCCGGGCGTAAGTGGTTATGTTTATTTTCCAGAAATTTGGTTCCCGGGATTCTTATTGTTATTCCTGATCTCTAATTGCACCATGTAAAATGCAAAAACGCATGAAAGAAGGGGGGGCTAAACGGAGTCTGACAGAAGTGGCGTACCGTTCCTGTACACTTCTGGCCTTCACCACGTCTTTGCAGGTACTGCCTTAGCTGTGTTCATCTCCTTCAGAGTGCAGAGGTGTGTTGACTCACACACACATACCTCTTTAAAAAGCTAATAATTTTAACCTTCACAGCACCAAGCCAGACTAAACCTAACTAACTAGCTAACTAAAACCTAACTAACTCACTCACTCTTCCGTTTTGAATGAAGCCAAACAAACTAAACTAATCTTGTCTCCCCGTTACAGATGAAGCTCTACAACTCGAGCTTCCCGGCGTCAGAGCACGTGTTGTACATGGGGTGGGTGTGTGAAGGCGTGATTAACCACAACCTTCCATGGCAGAACTGGAAGCCTAAGTTTATCGCCCTTAAAGGCACTGATATCTACATGTTCGACACCCCGCCTGTGAGTAGTGAAGTGGCCCATTTGTTGTATTCTCCCTTATTTCTCCCTTTTCTATTTTCCTCTCCCTTCCTTCTTTCTGCCTTCCTCCCTGCCTTTCCTTTCTCCCTCCCTTCCCCTTCTCCTTTCCTTTTTCTCTTATTATTCTTGTTGTGGCTTATATTATCTCTCTCTCTCTCTCTCTCTCTCTCCCTCTCCTTTCTTTATTGTCCTTTTCCTTCCACTACTCCCGTTACCATCTCCTCCTCTTCACACACACTGCCTCTCATTTCTTCCATCTGTCCTTCACTCACTCTCTCCAAACTTCCTTCACTCTTCAACTTCCCTCATTTCCTCTCTCTCTCTCTCTCTCTCTCTCTCTCTCTCTCTCCTTCCTGCTGTCCGTTTTATAAGTAAGGACACAAATCATTACAATTTCATCTTGAAAGTTCAGAATTCTTTGGCAGTCCACCAACCACCACCACCTACCACCACCACCACCTACCACCAGCCATCCGCCACCTACCACCACCCATCCGCCACCACCACCTACCACCAACCATCCGCCACCCATCTGCCGCCACCACCAGCCACCCTCCACCACCAGCCACCCTCCACAGCCACCCATCTGCCACCTATTCGCCACCCAACACCGCCACCCACCCACCAGCCGCCCCAAACTTGTTCAAATTTCTCTAGTTTTAACCCTTTGAAGACGAGGGTTTACCTGGGTGATGTTTAACCCTTTGAGCAGTGTTGTTTTTACCCTTTTTACAATGATGATTTAACCCTTTGAGAACTATATTTTAACCCTTTGATAATCATGATTTAACCCTTTGAGGACAATAGTTTAACAGGGTGATGGTTTAACCCCTTTGAAATTATGGTTTATTCCTTATACAATAATGAATTAAACCATCAAGAACTATAGTTTAAACCTTTGAGAGCAATAAACTCTATAAAGATGATGGTTTAAACCCTCGTCTTCAAGGGGTTAAGTTAATAAAAGACCCTAACTAAGTTTTCACCAGGTAATATAAACAAGGTGGATTTTTAAAGTTTATTAGATAATTTCACAGACAAATTTATTATAGTGTTTTGTGTCTCATGAATATTGAGTGTATAAACTGACCAGCGGGGAATTGTTTTTGTGAATGACTGAATTTGTAGAAGATAAGTGTAGGTAGGAAGTTTACTTTCTATAATTGTACAGTAACTCAAAACAACTATCTCAGAAACAGAGACACACACAGACAGAGAAAAACAAACAGAAAGACAGAGAGAGAAAGAGAGAGATGGGGGGAGGTTCATAGAGTCCCCCAGCTGCTTCTCAAACCTTTCGTCTCTTTAAGTCGTTCCTCCTCCTCCTCCTCCAAGTGGTCCATGGAGGTAGACCTTGAGGGGTCGAAACATAATAGTCACTTGGAGAGGTCTAGATGGAGGTAGAGAGGCCAAGATGGGAGGTAGAGGAGGATTGAGGCCAAGATAGAGAGGCCAGCTATGACTCTGGGACGACTTTATAATTATCTTAACGCTGCCTTGACAGAATTATGTGGAAGGTTGAACATGATGGCTTGGACATAATTATTCTGTCCCTCTCAACCTTCCCTCTCATCCCTCTTCCCTCACCTTCTACTATCCCTCTCTCTTTCTCTACCCCTCTCTCCTTTTCCTTCCCCCTCTTCCACTATCCTGTCTCTCCTCTCTTTTGTACAGTTTACTCTCCTCTTTGTCTCTGCTTTCTTCTCGCTTTCCCTTGTATTACCTCTTTCGTTTATTGGCTAAGTAGGTATCGCCTCCTCCTCCTCCGCTTCTTCTTCCTTCTCCTCCCCACTATCTCCCATCTCCCGTTCTCTCTTATCAATTATCTCCATCGTCAACCCAGGAGATTCTCTAGTTCTCTCACAGGAGATGAGGAGGAGGAGAAGGTCGTGTCTCCTTTGTCTCCGGCTCTCTCGACTGACTCAAAACGTCATCTTCACCTCTCTTCTCCAGACGCTCCTACCCAGCCCTCACTACCAGCCCTCACCTCACCTGACCTCACCCCTCACTACCAGCCCTCACCTCACCTCACTATCAGTCTTCCACTTCCCCACTAAATTCCCGGCAGCAACTGGGGATGACTTCATTAAACCAGCCCTCTCCCCTCCCCAGGCCTCTCTCTCCCCAGTCCCTCCCCAGTCCTCTCTCTCCCCAGTCCCTCCCCAGTCCTCTCTCCCCAGTCCCTCCCAGGCCTCTCTCTCCCAGTCCCTCCCAGGCCTCTCTCTGATCCTCCCCAGGCCTCTCTCTAGCCCCCCAGCCCCCCCCCTCTCTCTACCCCTGACTCGCCTCTCCTTCCGTTGTTGACTGCAGCTCATGTCAGTGATGTCATCTTACTCAGGTTTAATCTTTTAACAACTTTTTCGCCTGAATCTTCTCATCTCCCAGCCTTTATAAACACGAGGCTCAACACCTTTCCTCTCTGTTGTCTCCCCCTCACCTCTTGTCTCCCCCACCTCTTGTCTCCCCACACCTGTTGAATCCCCATATCTCCCCCTTTCTTCCCCTCTCTCTCTCCTCACTAACACCCCCCCTCCTCTCTCCCTCCTCACTACCCCCTCCTCTCCTCCCTCACCTAACACCCCCTCTCTCCTCCTCACTAACACCCCCCTCTCTCTCCCCAACACCCCCTCTCTCCCCTAACCCCCCCCTCTCTCTCCTCCCTAACACCCCCTCTCTCCCTCCCTGCCCCCCCTCTCTCTCCCCTCACTGTTTTCCCCTCTCTCCTCACCTAACACCCCCCCTCTCTCTCCCTCACTAACACCCCCCTCTCTCTCTCCCCCTCACTAACATCCCCCTCTCTCTCTCTCCCCACAGCTCAACACTCACGACTGGGTAGAGAGGGCGTCAGTGTGGGCGGTTCATCAGACAATGTTCCGAGTTATCAAGGAGTCAGAATACGTGGACGAGCGGCAGCACTGTTTCCTCCTCCAGACGGCCATGCAGGAGTCCCGGTACCTCAGTGTAGAGACCCGTCAGGACCTTCTTAGGATCGAGAACGCTTGGCACCGCGCCGTCTACAATGCTGTGACCAGACTGGGGGTGAGTCCTACTGAGGGTACACCATGGGAGAGGTCCTTGGAGGGGGTACACGGAGTGGGTTAGGTCCTTGGAGGGGCTACACTACAGTACTACCACATCACTGTAACTGCACCACTCCTTCACTATCACCACCATTACAGTTCCCCCTCACCATTGACCTTGATATATACAGTACCTCCCCACACCCTCAACCAGCCCTCTGAAGCACCTCACACGTCCCTCCCAGAACATCTCTCTTAACACTTTTATCCTCACCATTATAATGTTTCACAGTTACAAAAGTTTCTTACCTCAGTTATTTCTCATTGTTGTAAAGATTCCTAAACCTCTCAATTGTGTTCAAGTTTTTCTCACTTTCAACTTTTATTCCCTTGTAGAACACACCTTGCAAACAGTGTATTAATGTACCATTACAAAATATGCCACTGGTAATGCCTCATATTGCATCCCTTTCAGAACAAGACGTTTGCCGTGACGCAGGCAGGGAGATCGTCGGGGCTGACGCTGGACTGGTCGGGAGGGTTCGCCCTGTATGACACAGAGACGAGGGAGTACCACTGGCGCTACAAGTTCTCACAGCTCAAGGGCTCCTCTGATGACAGCAAGACCAAGCTCAAACTCCACTTCCAGAATGAGAACAAGGAGATCGAGACTAAGGTGTGTGTGTGTGTGTGTGTGTTCCATCTTCTCATGCCCAGCCAGACCACAAGACACACATGCCCATCTCTTCTTATTAAAGTCAAAACAAATGGGCACTTCACATATTAATTACACCAACATCATTTCATCAAGAACCTCCCTCCCCTCACCCCCCACTTCTCACCCCCGTCCCTCACCCCCCTCCCTCACCCCTCACGTAGGTATCAGAGAGATGGAGACGTGAGAGAGGATGAATGAAGTCACTAGGTTAAGGCATCATCTTACTTCACGCCTCTTGAAGGTGTGGAAACTGTTAAGACGAGATGGAGTTTCTGTTACTCTTTAATGATTTACCTGAATATTAAACAACCCAGTTTATTTCACCTGTAGATTAAATTTCCTAATACTAACCTTAACTTAACCTAAACTAAATGTTTACCTTTTGTCAATGTTGAGTTAAAATGTTAGGACGTGTATAATGGGAATGTTGGATGGGTAATTAACCTTTCTCCCGCACCTTCAGGAGCTGGAGTGCGCTACCAACCTCCAGAACCTCCTCTTCTGCATGCACGCCTTCCTCACCGCCAAGGTCGCCGCCGTTGATCCCTCTTTTCTGCGAGCCCCGCCCAAAACGCCCACGTAGTCACACCCACCACCACGCCCACCAGGTAAGTCTCACTCCCACTCGGGTACAATTTAATAACGTTAGGGCTGAAATGTCGCTTAATGAACAGGTATTCTCACTTATGTCTATTTATTTTCGTCTACAGATGAAAAGCGTTGATGGTGCGAGGCAGCAGTGGAGAACCAGTCGTCGTGCTTTATCCAATAGTAGTCAACTTCTGTGCTAAGGAACCAGTCATGTCGGGCCACGTCAAAACTACGTCATTGCTGTTTTATCCAATACGAAAACAAACTCAAGCTCTCGAAGCCAACTACATCCCGCCACGTCAAAATTGTAACCCCCCCCCCCCTCCCAACTATTCAGCCAATAGCAAACGTACTTCCATCTTTACCTGTACCAATAGTCACTTGTGAACGCTAGTGGTAGATGTCTTTACATAGTGTAATGGCTATAATACAAGACTCGGCTCCGGTTATATCTGTCATCAGGTCTTTGTGTCTCATGTTTATTGTTTATGGAGAACTATGAGAGAGAAGTGATGTGTTGTAATCAAAACTGGAGCGTGTTTAAGGCTCGTTAATTACCTCTACTGGTAACTCATTAATGTTGTCACCTGACTTACCTCACCTTGCCACTAACACAGTGTTGTATCCCCCTGCCACTAACACAACTGTTGTAGCCCCCTGCCACTAACACAACTGTTGTAGCCCCCTGCCACTAACACAACTGTTATAGCCCCCACACTAACACAACTATGTAGCCCCTGCCACTAACACACAACTGTTGTAGCCCCTGCCACTAACAACACAACTGTTGTAGCCCCTGCCACTAACACAACTGTTGCAGCCCCTGCCACTCACAACTGTTGTAGCCCCCTGCCACACAACTGTTGTGCCCCTGCCACTAACACAACTGTTGTGCCCCTGCCACTAACACAACTGTTATAGCCCCCTGCCACTAACACAACTGTTAGCCCCGCCACTAACCACCCTGTTGTGGCCACTTGCCACTAACACAACTGCCAAGCCCCCCTGCCACCACAACACAACTGTTGTAGCCCCCTGCCACTAACACAACTGTTGAGCCTCTCCCACTAACACAACTGTTATAGCCCCATACATTAACACAACTGTTGTAGCCCCCTGCTGCTCAACACAACTGTTGTAGCCCCTGCCACTAACACAACTGCTGTAGCCCTGCCACTAACACAACTGTTGTAGCCCCCTGCCACAACACAACTGTTGTAGCCCCTGTCACTAACACAACTGCTTGTAGCCCCCTGCCACTAACACAACCATTGTAGCTCCCTGCCACTAACACAACTGTCAGCCCCCTGCCACTAACACACAACTGTTGTAGCCCCCTGTTACACACAACTGTTGTAGCCACTCTGCCACTAACACAACTGTTGTAGCCCTCACACTAACACAACTGTTGTAGCTCCCCGCCACTAACACAACTGTTGTAGCCCCTGTCACTACTAACTGTTGTAGCCCTCGCCACTTTCTAGCCACAATCCATTGTAGCCCTGCCACTAATACACAACTGTTGTAGCCCCTGCCACACACAACTGTTGTAGCCCCCTGCCACTAACACAACTGTTGTAGCTCCCTGCCACTAACACAACTGTTGTAGCCCCCTGCCACTAACACAACTGTTGTAGCCCCCTGCCACTAACACACACACACACACACACACCTGACCCACTATATAAGGAGTAACTATACAGCATATAATAATCTCTATTAATCATTAAACATATATTAGCAAGAACTAAACTTTAATTTTTTTAGTAATAAGAGAAAATTATTTTATTACGTACGTTGTATATAATGTCTTTGGTTAGTCTTGTATTTCAAATTATTTTTTATTTATCCTTGAGGCGAGTGAGTGTATGTGTGTGTGTGTCAAGTACCATCATGTCAAGTATTGAAAAGAAGCCGAGTCATGAATTATAAGCCACGTTATATTTGAAGAGTTAATTGTGACGTTTAAAAAAAAAACTTGTTGATAAAGCTTTAACAGTTGTAAATATTAAAAACAAAACTAAGGTGTTAATAATGATAGTACTCTTGCATGACTATAACAATATTTGTGAACAATGAACCTGCTAACTTATTGAATCCGTTATCTGTGTAGCTTTTAAGTCCCGCGCGGCCAACAGGGCAACGTTGGACTATAACAAACATACATATATAATAATACTAATAATACTAATATAACATCATCTATAATGAACCTGTATGAATGAGGTGTATTAAACATCCACAAGTAATCATTTTTAAGGTATTACTGTACATCTTTCTGTTAATAACGTCTTTTGTAAACATTAACCAACTTTCATCTGTTCATCAGTCATCCCCCCCTCCTCCCCCTAAGCTCTGATAATTTATAAATCACTTTACAAACTTTCTTACATATGTTCAAAATATTTTCTAAAACATGGTGTAACTTTTTGCCTAACATGTTTGGGTATACAGTAGGTTCCTCCTGGCGGGGGTCTGAAGTGTAAAAAAAAAAATTCATATAAACATTCATGTAAACATTCATGTAAACATCCCTCTAGTGTTTCCTCTTAGTCAATATTTAAACTTGTCATGATTCAAGGTTCAATAGTGTTTATTATTAGAGATTGTAAACAACTTTTTCGTTTTGGGTCCGAATGTAATACATCTTTTGCCGTGCGATCTTCCTAACACTAATGCGATTGGTTGAAAGATTAGAGAAACTAGACTTGCGATTGGTTGAACGATTCGATAAAGAGAAACCAGACTTACGATTGGTTGAAAGATTCATGATTGGTTGGAAAGTGTGGTAAGAAATCTCATCTGTGATTGGCTGGAGATTTGATATATAGAGACGAAACATTGGGTTGACTGGAGGAAATTTTTTTATATAGAACGACAGACTTTTTGATTGGGCGAGAGATTTTGATTAAAGAGAAAAGACACCTTTTGATTGGCCAGCAAGTAAGTTTAAGAGAGTCACCGAAGAGTCAGGAAGGAAAGTTTAGTCACTGGATGGTGATAATAAACGAGCGTCACTCACAATAGTCCTATATCCTGTTCTCTCGTGTAAGATCAGAAGCTATGTATTGACCTCACACTCATAGACGATATATATAATGTTAACCTTTTCTGGTGGATAGGTGACCCAACACAGTCCATTTTGGTGTTTTGTGTGAGGACAAGATTTAGTGTCAATTGTACTGTACATAATTCTTAACGATGATTTTTCGAAGACGAGGAGACGACGTGCATTAAAGTGAGTTAGTGTCGACGCGTGTTGTCAAAATGTATAAAAAAAAATTATATATTGCTTTCCTTGATAACTGGAGATTTAAATGAGGGCCAAAATGCCACTAAACAGCACTCGACCTTAACTACCATGAGTTCTCGTATGTAGAAGGGGGAAATATTTAACTTACATATGTCGGAGAATTCGGTACTTGGACCTCGTATTCTCAAATATACATTATGTTGTTAACGCTTCCTAAATACAGATGGTGCAGCTTATTTATTCATAGTCGAGTCTCATTGCAATCTTAACGTCATTTTGTGTGATACTATAATTGAACTAGATAGATACGTTCTTATCTAGTTAAAGGGGAAAATTATCGTTCGAACCTTAAAGAATCTAGATTGAGGGGGGAGTGACCAGCGACACACTCGGCCTTCACTAAGGCTGCCTAACTGTCATCTACTTACAGCTGTTTTATTTAAGTAAAAAAAAAGATAAGACCTTAAGTAACAGACATCGTCGTATATAAGTGGGTTTCTTTAAGTAGCTGTGCCCGCTTTGTTTACTCATAGACTAAAATATATCTCCAAACATTCCTGCTCTCTCCCTCAAGTCGCCGTTTTACCACACAAAAGGTCAGAAATATAATGATGTTCATTTTTTATCGTAAAAGAAAATACTTAAGCATAATGTATCGCGTCAAAAACATCAGGAAATATAATCAAAGATTGTAAGAAATTTGCATGATCTATACTTACATATTATCGAATAAGGGAGATACCGTGTTTCCTCTCCTCCACACTGATAACCACCTCACAGAAAATGTTTAAAGGTAACTCTATCCTTCCCAACAACTTCGTCTGTCAAAAACAAAATGTGAATTTCAACATTTTTCGTAGTTTGGTTTGTGTTAATTGTTTTATGTTGTTATGTAATCTTGGCAATACTTGACGTATTCGGTGACTCATGGTCGCTTTTTGCAATACTGTACTAGTGGACTGATGAAGAACTTCAACACAGAGTCGTTGATGAAAGAGATTGCTAACTCCCACAGCTCTATACTGTACTGTACTTTGGCTTGACTTGTATATAACTGTAATTATCGTAATCACCTAATTTATTATATTGGTTACTTAAATAAATATATTATCAGGGTGTGTCACTCAACTGTACATAATATTATATACATACATCTATATATTTTTACTCCTGTTTTCGCATATGGTTAAGTAATTTACTGCTTCTGTGTATTATCTCTAGTCTTGCTCAATATACCAAAAAAACATCCAAAGTCTACTGTTCCTAATTTACTTTAGTTGTTATAGATCATAGTTAAAAGTATAAGTAATTTGAGTTCCTGTGCGTGGGTGCGTCTTAGGTGTTCTGGCTCTCCTCCCCACCCCTATTCCCTGTCCCTCCCCCCGACACGACGACTACCAGAAAAACATGAGACGTAGAAAATAATACATTCACAATGGTAAAAACAGACAGCGCCAGTACGAGCAGCGAAAAACACCGACACGAGCAATCGGCAGCGCTCATGGAAGGTAGAGTGCCGTGTGCCAACAGTTAGCTGATGTTAGGTAGCAACACTGTATCTGCTCACGGACCGACTATTGTTTAAGTAATGGACGGGTGACCTCCATCTTCCCACGGCTGGCTCAGGTTGGTATTAACTGTTATAAATGTAAATGTTGATGTAGCTGTATACTGGAGGTGAATGTTAGCGTCTGTGTGCGTCAAAGGGTGCTGTGCGCCCTCACTGACATTTGAATAGCTTTGAATAGTTGTTGAGAAAACCTACTTTGTGGTAGATATAACAGGAGTTTTATTTTTATTTATAAAGTAGATTCACTAAACCTTTCCCTTAGAGACTATTACAGCTCCTCAGTGGAGTGCTTCATGATACTGACCGTGTGGCTACCGTGTTGTGACTGACGAAGGTGAGGACAGCTTAAGGTACACAAACTGTCCTGTGACTCGACTCAGACTTGCTAACAGTAAATGATGTGTCTTGGAGTCTTGAGAGTGAGATAAATGATAGTGTTTTAGGACGGCGTTAAGTGTGTGTAGCTACGGTAATACTGAAGCTTTTGTAAAGTGTAGGAACTCGTCGGTCGTGACATTAACTTTACTTGTATTTCAATGAATTGTTTTAGCATTGCGAAAACACAAAACTCATTTTGTTTGTTTGTAATTTTGTGTTAACTCATGATGCTGGAGAAGTTCCGAGCACATGGATATGATTTGTGTTCCAGGACACAAGCGGCAGAGTTGTGTACTAACAGACCAAGACATTGTACTTCCTAGAGTTAAAGTTTGTATAAAGTGGAGCAGAAGTTGCATTTACTGTACAATGGTTCCTCAGCGCCCACATATAGACGTGAGAGCCACACCCTCCAGTACTGAGTGTTGTTGACTTGAGTGTTGATCTTGTATCCCCAACACAGTCTGTGAGAGGTGTTGACCTTCACATCCGCTCTGCTACACCAAGAAGGGAGGGATGGT